AATAAAGTAAAAATCAGCAAACAATGTGGAACCAATTAAATAAGTAATTAGTAAATAAGTAAAAAGTAAATAATTAAGAAACTTCCAAAATCACCTTAGATAAACGGCAAAAGTCAACAGGCTTTTCAAAATCCAAAATATTGCCAAACAGGTGCTTTTGCATCTCGTTTTGAAACTAAATCATCCGCCATCGTCTTGTCTATCTTACCTCACCTCACTCTTCTTGTCAGTCAGCTCGACTCACTCTCCTCACTGGATAAATTAAATCTGATCTGTGATGCGACTGTCGTTCAGCACGCTGCATTGAGCAGCCGCGTTCAGTTTTTAATTGTAGTGTCTGTTCTTTTACTGAACTAAATTATTTTTATTACTATAAAAAAAATCAAAACGACGGTGGGGGTCGGTGACGCAGTGGGTAAGTGACATAACCGGTGTTGCGGCTTAACACCGGTATCACCGTCAGCACCGTCTATCGCGGCAAGCCTAAACTGGTGCAGCGATTGCGAGCCAGGCCTTCTTGTCCAACATCAGTGCCTGACCTCACAAATGTTAAAAAACTCCTACAGAAACACTCCAAAATCTTGTGGAAAGCCTTTCCAGATGAGTGGAAGCTGTTATAGCCATAAAGAGGGGACCAACTGCATATTAATGTCTGTGTATTTAGAATGCGACGCCATTAAAGAGAGAAAGTCTTGGCCTTGCCTGTAAATCAACAATCTCTCCATACATACAAAGGTAGAGATACAAATTGATGTTTCTTTCCTGCATGCTTTTATAACTGCCTCAATGGAAGGATGTGGAACAGATGTTATTAATGTTGGCTGTTTATGAGCCCTTTGCTTGTATATTTGATAGATTTAAGTGGATTTATCATGAAGGTTAATTGTGCATGAGACTCCGCATCTGTGAATGCATGGTGAGTACTGTTTGTGTAATGTGTCGTGTTATTTGTGTGTAACTGCTCACTTCGGTGGGCTCCAAGTGTTCAGGTCTGTCCGAAATCAAGGCCCAAGCATCCACGGGTCAGGCGCTGACGGCAGATAGTGAATCTCACAAACACGTCTTGTGCCTCTAAGGACGTTAGGCAGTCACATGCCCCACTTCCGAACGACACCAGGGTCAGTCATCTTCAGGAATGGTTGTTTATGTCCTTGCTGCAGTTTGTCTTGGCCCGGCCTGCAAATCAACAATCTCTCCAATTGCTCTCACATGCAAGGCTAATTTGTTTTCCTGCTTGTGGCACTGTTTATGAGGAGAGCCACATTGAACACTGCTACCTCTGAGAGCAGGTCACAAGGGACCTCTGGACCAATCGCACAGCGGTCAGGCCACTGGACTGGGCGGATGCTTACAGGAACCCAGACTTAGAGACTCTCCCCTTGTCCTCCTGACTGAGAGAAGATAAATGCTAGGGGAGATTGATATTGGAGAATAGTGTAAGGTATCAAGGCCAGAACCAATGCAAATGTAGCTTATGATCAAGATCTTGAAATTTTCTTAAAGTAAAAGAATGTATTCTGAAGACTTTTCAGAAATTCACATGTGAATTAGTCATTCAGAACAGTTTTGTAAACCAGATTTAATGAAATTATCTAACTCAAAAGAATGATTCGTTCCACTCTCATGAATCGTGAGAGCTATTAAGTGAATAATAACTTACATTTTGGCTTCAGAAGACTTGGTATAAAGTGCAAATTACTTTCATACAGGATCGGAAAATTAACTTTTACATTAAGAGGCAATATTTGCCCCCCTTAATTGACTTCCAGCTGCATTTTTTTTTTACCTTTGTAAGGACTTTTTTATAATTACTAAATGTACCTTGGTTGAATTTAAGTATTTCATATAAAACAAAACACAACTTAAATCAATTTACAAAACTATAGCCTGCAGAAAGTCAGGTTATTTTAGTTGAAACAAACAAACTGGGAATAATTTAAATACATTGCAGAAAGCAAGCAAGAATGTTCCCCACCACTGAAGCGTGCTGTAACTTCAGTCTAGCACAAGTTCTGCAAACAATCACTCAAGCACACTGCAAAATGAATCTCTTGCATCGTATCTGCACTTTGTTGTTTATGATGAGAAAACTTGTGAGAGCATGTATACTGAACAAAACTGCATTTTCAGCAATGACTAATCTAAACTCCCCTGATTGGCCATTGCATTCATAAACTCAAAAGAAATGTGTGTGATTAGTGGTTATAATGCTCAACTCTGATGCAAAGTGAGCAGATCTAAATAATAAACACTTTTAATTCATTTTCATTTCATTTCATCTACATATATGCAACAGTTTTAATAGATTAAATTTAAGTTCTAATAGTTTTTCATTGTGGTTTTGCATCCTGGGATGCTTTTAAGCTTCAAAAACGATGCAAAAGCACTATAAAAGTGAACTATTTATAATTTCTGAGTGAGCTATCCTTTAATAAATTAACTAGTATCTTTCTCTCATTCTTTTCCCACTATCTTCCCTGGTTTCTGTTATGCAAGATCTCGACTCTGAGAAGATGTGGTCATGGTGTTCATGTCTAGACTGCCTGACGAGATTTTAGGTGTATTGATTTTTCTCTCACACTCTTTCTCTTCCATAAATCTGTTCCACCCAAAGTCATACTCCTCCCTCTGCTCTTAAAAATGGGAGTGCATCGTAGAAAAGTTTCAGTCCATTAATTTTAAAGTGCCAATGAAGTTGTTTTGAAGGCCTTTTGTGTTGTGTGAGATGTTTACACAACCGCTTCAATGGATAAAACGCATAAAATTAGTTCTCTGGCTTAAATCAGCAGGGGATGCTTGGTTGTCATACCCCTCACCTTTCACAGACTTTAATAATATAATTTTAATCACTCTCTGAACATATATTATTATACTGCAAATGTTTTTTCGGTCAGAAATGTAAAAATATTTTGAAAAACTCTTATACTCACCAAGGCTGCATTTATTTTAATTAATTTTATGTTTATTTTATATCTATTATATATTATATGTATTGTAAGTGTCCTATGCTTAGGACTGAAGACTCCAGAATCCTTTGAATCCTTTAGAAATCATTCTAATATGCTGAATTGGCATTCAAGAAATACTTTCTTTATTATTATTAATGTTTAAAACGGTTGTGCTGCTTAATATTTTTATGGAAATCATTACACTTTTTTTCAGGATTCTTTGATCAATAAAATTTCAAAAGAACAGCATTTATTTAAAATGTAACTTTTTGTGACGATGTACTATAAAAGTGTTTACTGTCTCCTTTGATCAATTTAATTAATATATATTAAATAATATTTGGTAACACTTTAGTATAGGGACCAGTTCTCACTCTTAACTAGTTGCTTATTAGCATGCCTATTATTAACATATTGGCTGTTTATTAGCACTTATAAAGCACATATTCTTTTTTTTTTTAAGTTATATTTATGGCTGATTTCTGCCTTTATTGGGACAGGAGAGTAGCGAGGTGACAGGAAAGCATTGGGTGGAGAGAGAGGGGGGCAGGATCGGCAACGGACCGCAAGACGGGAATCGAACTCGGGTCGGTGTGAGCGCAGTTGCCCTGCATGTCGGCGCACTAACCATGAGGCTATTGGCGCTGACATAAAGCGCATATTCTGCATGACTATATTCTACATCCCTAATCCTATCCAATACCTAAACTTAGTAACTACCTTACTAACTATTAAAGGGGTCATATGATGCGATTTCAAGTTTTCCTTTCTCTTTGGAGTGTTACAAGCTGTTCGTGAATAGATAAGATCCCTGAAGTTGCAAAGACTAAAGTCTCAAACCCAAAGAGATATTCTTTATCAAAGTTAAGACTCTGCCACACCCCCCAAAACGGCTCGTTCTAACACGCCCCCACATATCTAGGTCACTATGTGGGAATATTTGCATAATGCCGCTCAAATGTACAGGCAAAGAAAGAAGACGTGGTTTCAATAACCGCAGTTAGTGTTGAAGCAGCCATGTCAGGGAGACGCTGTGTGTTTCTAGGCGAAAGCAAAAGCACTTTATTTGGCCTTCCAAATAAGTAGATGCATTTAGGAATCTTTAAGATCACTTACAACAGAACAGCAATGCATTTTATGGACGACCGTGTCGTGAACCTAGGAGAGGAGGTAATTCTAACTTTGCTATGACAATCTGGCACTTCTGAAACATATTCTGTTACACCAAATACACAAAATAATGATCTTTAAAAAAGCATCATATGACCCATTTAATAAGCAGCAAATTAGGAGTTTATTAAGGCAAAAGTCATAGTTAATGGTTTGATAATAGCGAGAAATGGACCTTAAAATAAAGTGTGACATACTGTTTATATAATTAATACATATGTGTAAATGAATACATTTTGTCATCTTTTTTATACTTTTATTTAGTTTTCTCCATTTTTCCCTCCTCTATTCAATTTTTTAACACATCCAAAACTTGGAGAAGAAAGTCTGGCAGCTGTAACCTTAGAGAGGAGCCCCATGCATTGTAACGGGAGTCGATATGACCCAAGGGTGTGCCTTGAGGCCTAAGACAGAACCTGATTTGATGAGTCCAGCAGCGCAGAGCACCCCTCCCTTTGCTGTGTCTCTCTCCCTTTTATTCTCTAGATCCCTTCATCCTGAGTTCTCAGGTACCTGCATACAACTGTGGAGGGCTTTTTTTGAAGCTTGCTGGAGCATCCCAGGCTTAGCCAGGCCAGCCGCAGTGTGGCGTGCCCGTGCACATTTTTAAAAAAGTCAGCCTGTCTGTTTTTTCCTCCCCACTGCTCTTATCTATTCCTCCATCTTTCCCTCACCTCCCCTTCTCTCTCTCTCTATCTCCTATCTGTCTTTTTTTTGCGCTCTGTCTCTCTCTCTCTCTCTTTTGTCCTCACTTCACCTGCGCAGGGTTTTTTTTCTCTGCCATGCAGCAGCAAACGGATGAGTCAGACTGGCACTGCTACCTTCATCTCTCACTTTCCTCCTCGGTCTTCCCATCAAGTCCTGTGCAGAAGTGCAAGAAAGACTGCAGCATCAGGAGACACTAAACTCCCCCATTACAGCTGGTTTTGTAGGAAAGAGAGCAGCTTCTAGTAAAGCATGTCCAATTACAGTGAACCGGTGCAGAAAATGATATGAAGACGCCCTGAATATGGGCAAATATGGTTAATTATGATGGTTTCTGAAACTTAAAGGGATAGTTCACCTAAAAAATAAATCATTTAGTCACGCTCATGTCGTTCCAAACCTGAGTGACTTACTTTCTTCTGTGGAACACAAAAGATGATATTTTGAATAATGTCTCTGTATTTATTTTCTTCCATATACTGAACAGTGGAAGTCGATGGTCGCCAAAATGGTTTGTTTACCAGCATTCTTCAAAATATTATCATTATATTATTCATGTTCTGCAGAAGAAAGAAAGTCATACAGGTTTGAAACCAGCATGAGAGTGAGTAAATGATGACAGTATTAAAGAAATAGCTCATCCAAAAATTTTAATCGAGTACGTGTGTGTGTGTGTGTGTGTGTGTGTGTGTGTGTGTGTGTGTGTGTGTGTGTGTGTGTGACAGCCCGGTGAGAGAGAAAAGTGTCTTCTCTCTGTGGCAGTTTGCCACTCTTGTGTCGGCGCATGCATGGCCACACGGCCACCCTGGGTTTCATTATCCTCCTGGGTGACACAGTGTAGAAGGGTGAAGTCAGTAGAATGTCATGTTCTGTCCACCACCTTACTCCTTTCCTGGCCATCCACAGGGTATTCATGAACAGTTATTTGCTATTTAATAGTCAGTTGCAGGTGTTGTTAGCAGGAGGGACATTGTCATTCTGGCATTTGAATGGACAAAATTGGTAGAATGTATTGTGCAGTTTGAGTTGTCAATATTTTAGTCTATTTTTTTCAGAAGGGAAATAATGTAAGTTAATATTTAGAAGTAAACTAACATTTTGATGACCTCAACGTTTTATTTTATCCAATTTTTTTATTGTTGTTAATTATTTTATTTTATTTCATTTAATTTTTATTTAAAAAAAATTAAATAATAAAATAAAATAAATATTTCAGTTTTTCATTTTTATTTTATTTTATTTTGATTGTTTTTATTAAAAAATTATTTTATTTGAACCATTTTATTACTTATGGTTTTTATTAGGGATGCACCGATACCGATACTGGTATCGGTATTGGGCCCGATACTGAGCTCCTGTACTCGTACTCGTTAAAATGCCCCGATACCAAACGCCGATACCACACAGCATGTGATAAGTGCCATATTCAAACAAAGAAACATCGACAACAGAACAACAGACAGCAGAATGCAGAGTTAAGGATGTCTACTACGAAGTATATGTATGCAATGAATATAACGTTAAACATTCAGTATTAACGCCTGTATAGCTGATGTGCGCAAGCTGATAAACAAAGCACGCTGAGTGGATTGAGCGCGCGGCGGCGCAGATGCGCGAGCTTGTCGGAAATGCACTAGGCTGTACTATTCTGCATCAGTACAAATGCATGCGTTGCGCGTGTTTTGCTTGCTCGAGTGTTTCTACATTATATGAGTGGCTTTGGAATATAAATCGCAGCACGTTTCAGATGAAAAAAATGCGACATCTATTTCTGAAAATATCACAGTTAGGAGATTTATAACGAGTGGTTCCCTGTATTATTACAGCAAAGC